AGAGAGAGAGAGAGAGAGAGAGAGAGAGAGAACTAATTATGTTTATATACAATAACAGACACAACACCAATGGGCCGGACGCTCAACCCCTTCGCCGAAGACATGAATCTGATTGACAGCGAAATCTATTTTCACTTCAGAAGAACGTTTAAAAATTTTTTCACATCCATCGTATCGTTAATTATGGTATCACTGAAAACACCACTAATTCTTCTGGCAATTCTACCCATAATTGTTGTGTACGTGTGGTGTCAACGGCTTTACATCTCAAGCTTACGACAGGTGCGACACGTGGACGCCGGCGCCCGAACACACATTATAAGCCACTTCGCGGAAATATACAACGGGCCGGCAGTTATCCGGGCATTTGGCGCCGACCGTCACTTTCGCCGGGAGTCGCGCCGCCGTCTCGACGCTCACAACACGTGTCAATACGCGCTACTCGTGTCCAAGCGATGGCTGGCCGTACGGCTCGAGATCTTAGGCTATAGTATAGTGTTATTGTCGGCGGTGTTTGCCGTCGCCTTCAGGCATACGGTGGACGCCGGTGTGGCCGCTCTGGCCATCACTTATGCCGCGAACATCACTGATATTATGGGAAGGTTTGTGAGTGGAGTGACAGACACTGAGGCCGATAGGATGGCTGTCGAGAGCTGTCTGGCGTTAACGCAAATACCAGTTGAGGTATTTGATGGAGTTTTTTGTCACAATTCAGATATGAATATAACGAGGTTTAGTTGCCTCGTTCGGCAACCCTACTTTGTAAGATTTAACAGGGCAAACCATGTTAATCCTATGACAAACTTAACATTGGTAATGTTAATCTTATGATAAATTATTGTTTATGTAAATGTAAAAATCTAAAAGGACTTGGTGGCTTTTCTGAATGTTAGTTCTTTAGGACTAATGTTCAGTCTATGGGAGAATGTTTTGTTTCTATTACAGCTTTAGTTTACAAGTTTAACATGGGCAATGCAAAGTCCACGGGTAATTAGAGTGACCAACCGTCCCGATTTTGCACATTTTGCCCAGCGTCCCAATAAAATTTTACAATATTACAAATTATTTATTTGATAATATACAAAAGTTTTATGTCAGTCAAACATTCAATTATAAAATTTCATCAAAAATATTAATTATTATATTTAGATATTTAGTATTATTAATTTATTTTACTATTTTTCTTTAAGTTGTTTCTCATATGGTTGTAAAAGTAAAATGAAATATTACCTAGAATTTATATTTCAATTGTTTGTGAAAATAATTCATTTGAATATTAAGCTATATTTAAATTTACAATAATTTAACCCTATTTTCACTACATTAATGTTAAACACAAACACTGCCAACAATTACACATATACTGCAAACACTTTCCCAGAATAAACTGGACATTAAAGTGACCCAATTGTCAACCTATTTAAGTCCCAAACTTACAACACATACAGAGTCAGTCAATACAGAGTCAATACAAAAATGTAAACTCACATTAAACACATAATTTGTGTGTTTTCGCACTATTTGTGCTAAACTGAAATAAAGTTTCATTTTTTTAAAATAAAAGTTTTGAATTATAAATTATTCTTTTCTACAGTTAAATTATTTCTATTATATACCATGATACTGTTGGTACCCATGGTTTTTGTATGAGTAGGGAATAGAAGTAAGCTACCTTATACAATCCTTTCCCCTACTCATACAGTAACTCTACTCACTATTAATATCATGTGATATAATAGAAAAAGGCCTCATTATAATTAAATACAAAGTTTATAAAAATTATATGAAATCTTTATTTTCATTATAACTTTATATGGTATAATGGGAAACGTTTAGAAATATCCTAAATTCAAACATTTTAAATTATAGTCGGGGGAGGGGTAGCCGAACGATTTTTTAAACCACATTATTCATATATGAATTGTGATTAAAATTATGACAATATACATGTATGATAGTGTTATAAATTGAACCAAATTTAGTCCAACATAGTAGTCATAAAGTGGTATAATGACTCTATATTACTAAACTAACTATTAATACTACTAATACTATTAATACACTAAACGAATATAGGCATCCCAAAAAATATCCCGATAACATATTTATAGTAAATATCCCGAAATTTATAGCAATTTTTCACGTAAAACCCCGATTTTACAAGTGTTGAGTTGGTCACTTTACGGGTAATGGTAAATCTATTCTTTGAGCCGGAATTGTGTGAACTTTGTTTTTAATTATACTTTTTATATAAATGTTATAATTATTATTTTGTTGCTAAATTAATTTTGAAGGCCGAGTGGTATAAAGAGGTAAAACCTGCGCCCGATTGGCCGACAATGGGTTGCATTTCATTCACAGACTATTGCACTAAATATAGAGAAGGTTTGGATTTAGTGCTTAAAGATATAACAATTGACATAAAAGGCAAACAAAGGGTTGCGATCGTCGGCCGCACCGGCGCTGGAAAGTCGTCCCTCGCGTTGGCTCTCTTCAGACTCATTGAGCCGACGGCCGGAACCGTTACCATCGATGGCGTCGACTGCTCTACCATTGGATTACA